CTTCTGAAATGATCAGGAATAGTGATTTGAAATGTAATCATTTCAGTCTCCATTCTTTAGTTCTAGGCTGCACACCCAGTGGTAAGGTCACAGCAGTACTCAGGTCTGCCCCTCAGGGACCCCACCAGGGAACCAAAGCTGTGTGACAGAAAGAGTACGATTTTCCAGTTCCATGCAGCGGGGTGGAGGGGGCCTCATGCCCCAAGGTAAGCACACTGTAAGCTTTGTAACTTCACAGTTGCTCAAGTAGCTTTGCATGGAATCTAGCACTTGCTTACCTAAAACACCAATGGAAAACGACTGGCCCGTCAACCTGTTGCCCTCAACATCAACCACATCGAATTTAAAAGTAAAGTTCCCGCCAGGTTCTCCTGTTCCATGACTATACTCGACACGTCCTATAAAAAGAAGCAAACAAGCAAGCACACAAGATTTGCTCTCAGTACTTTCTGCTCCTATTTCTGAAGTAGGAAGGGAGACTTCAATTGCTATTCATTCCAATGAATCAATTTACAATTTATACCTTCCTGTCTTTGATACATTTGACATTTTAATCTAAAGCTTTCCTTTACTCCCTTTCCTCCCCTACTATTGATTTCGCCACATCCAGATACTTCCTCATAACAAATTCCTCTCAATGACATTTCCTAGGGTTAAGGCACAGCCTTTGTGAAAGATCTACCTGGGCCTTTAGGGCGGTCCCAGGCGTGACTAGACCAGTGAAAGTGCCCTCCATACAAGAGCTCTGGCCGCACCTGTGGCACGGGGAGGGACCCTGCTATACACACACTTCACAAGGTAGGAGGACACAGCCCTGCAGCCCACTTTCTCCCGTGACTCTTCACCCTCTGTTGACCAACACAAGGAATAATGCCAACTACCATCTACGTCCCACAGGCAAGTAACAGGAAGCATGCACATACCCTTCACACAGGTCAAAGGGACCCAGAGGGAGAAGCTCGATGCAATCTAGTTTTGCTAGCCTGCCACATCATTTATATGTAGCCATCAGTGCAAATAGAACCAAACCTCTGGGAAGAGATGCCTGGTTTCATTTTTCACAAGGAGACATGGAGGCATGGAATAATTAAGGAATTACTACCCCTTTGCTATTCTATCCACTTCACCAAGGCGCAGACCAATCCAGTGAGAATTCAGCTGCTGTCCGTGTTTCATGCTAGAGCCTGGACAGGACCCGTGCCTGCTCCTTGTGTGCGTATTTCTACTTCTAAAAGGAACTGCACAACACCACATGACTTTGGACTATTTTTTCTACCCCATATGTAACTTTTTTCTCCTCTCTATCCCTGAATGCACTGTACAGTAACTGCGTAGCATTTAACATTTATGCCTTTGCATTACATCAGCATTTCCTGAAGGAGGGATGAGCCATGTAATGTCCCCCAGGCAGTGCAGATTTATGCCCTGGCATTCTGCTTAGTTCATTAACTTGTGCTCTTTGGGGAGCTGAAAAGAGATATAAATTGCTCACCGAAGGAAGGCATAATTTTCACCTTAATCCATCCAAACTCTGTTTATTTTTTTTTCATTCTTGTATTTCTTAGTATCAAACAAGTCAAAAACAACTTTGCTCTCTCTGTAAATAGCCCCAAATTTCATCAATGCTATGTTAATGTTCACATTTCTGTTAAGAAAGATAATTTTCCTTTTTAAAAAATGACAACCTCAAAAATGTCAGGCAAAGAAAAAAGAAGTTATAACTCAGCTCTTATTTAAAAAAAAAAAAAAAAGAAACCTGGTTTACTGGCATAGGGTTCCAGGCATTTAACTCCCATTTCTTTTCTACCAGGCAGCGTCCCCAGAAGCTTGGAAGACCCGGCCGACCTTGGCTTATGTCAGCCTGGGTGAAGCCTCGGATGGGGCCATGCACAGAGATCTGTCGCAGGCTGTCATGTGTCACCATCTGCAGGCGCCCTGCTCCAGGATCCTCCTTCAGGATGTACATAACCTGATGGGCATCTGAGTCAGTGCCTGCCACTTTCAGGTGCTGTTCTGTGATGCGTGCCACAGACCCTGGAAAAGAACAGAAGAGGGGGTCATTCCCTATCATTGCCTTCAGATAGGTGTCAAATGATCCACGGGACAGGAAGCTAAATTATCCTTGGGCTTAGCTACTCGCACTGCTCAGTTTCAAGCTCATGAATTCTAATTTTTCTAAAAGAAATAGCCACCTGGGTTTGATATGCATTCATTCATTCATTCATTCATTCATTCATTCCTTTAGTACAAGGTCTCACTATGCAGCTCAGACTCTTTGCGATCCTCCTGTCTCAGCTTTCCCAGTGCATGGCTTATAGGTGTGTACCACCATGCCGTTTTGAGGCCAGCACTGTAGGCAGTACAGGGATCAAACTCAGGTCCTTGCATTTGTCAGGCAGCCACTTAGACCACCAAGCTATCTCCCCAGCTTCAGTCCTCTGAGCTTAGATCTGAGTTCTTTTCATCTTTTCCATATTTATTCTCTCTATGCTTATTCTATGATGTAAATAATATTTAGATCTATGATGAAATCTGCTTGGATTTAACTTATTTAATGTTTTCAGGATTGCCAAACCAGAAAAAGCACTTTTTAGGCATCTCAGAGGGAACATTCAAAGCCAGCGTTTCTGAGTCTACTACTCTGATGTTGGGGACACAGCCAGGGCCTTCTCTACTGGAAACGCCTCTTCTCAGGGCCTTGCCCTTTCCTCTCCCAATAGGCCATTTTCTCATATTAAAAACGGTAAATTCCAGTACATATATCTTAGTTACTCCTGTGATGACATCCTGGTGTAAGAATGGCATCTTGGTTACTTCTCTCTCATTGCTGGGACAAAATACCTCACACCCAAAATTAAGGAAAGGTTTATTTAGCTCACAGTTAGTGGAGGTTTCAGTCCATATTTGACTGGCTCGAAGGCAAAATGAAGAGGGCAGCAGGTCATGGCCACAGAAAACAGCAAAGAGCCCAAAGGGAGGAGCAGTAGCTGTGGCAGCTAGCAAGCCTCTCTCCTGTCCTTATATTGTATGCAGATTACTCACCCCAGGGCAGGTGTAGCATTCACACCCATATTTCCCACATTGAATCATGAATTAATCACAAACTCAGGAAGCCTGCTCCATGACTGCATGAGGCCTTGAGGGGACAATTAGACACAGACCATAACAAATGGTACGCCAAACTGGGCGCTGAACATCTCTACATGTTCTTGCTGGATAATATCAAGAATACATGGCCCTGTCCACTCTTTATCCAGGACATCTCCCAGGAAGTAACCTTTAAGGGTGAGGTAGTTTTTCTCTCTGCAACAAAGATCAAACTTGATGTTTGTTGTCCTATGGAAGGTCTCCCATCTGTATGGGCCCTTGGCATTACTCTCATAGGACAAGCAGGCAGAGTGGACCAATGTAAACTTGTTAATGACCACACTGTCTGCTGTCTTACACAAAGAACTCTGTTTATGAAGGAGAAATCTTGTGTCTCTACCAGTACCCATGAAAACAGTGAGAGTTAGCTTGTAAGCAGGGTAAAATCAAATCCTATTCTTAAGAGCTATGACCTTGAGAATCCTCAGATTTTCAAATAATATTAAATCATATGTTTTTCCATACAAAACAGATACAAAACTAAGAATAAACAAACAATAGCTTCCTAGAGAGATGCAAAAGGCCCATGTGATAGGGTGCCTGGCTTTGGTGCAGGGCCTGGGAGGAGCACACTTCTAGGAGTCATGGAAGAGTGATCCTGGGCTCTATGTCTGGCTCCTTTCTTCTGTTCTCCTTCTCTGCTTCTTGGGTGCCATTAACTAAGCAGCTTTGCTCCATCATGTTCACTATGTTTCTGCCTTAGAACCAGCTAATCATGGACTGAATCCACTCAAAACATGAGCCAAATTACACCTCACCTCCTTCAAGTTGTAGGGCAGGGTACTAAGTCCTAGCAATGGGAAAGTTGAGCAATACAGCCCACTTCTAATCAACTCCCTACTTCAATCCCAGTCTTAAGACTAATTCTTGCTATTTGTCCTTGAATGCCACTAAAATATGCCAAATTGTTAAAGATGCTAGAATGGCTTATTGAATGATTCTCAGTTATTTGTATATTATATTTTAATGAATAATGGCCTCCCAAATGCCCTTCCATGAGTTTTTTTTTTCCTTTTTTTAATAAACATTTCGACAACTCTGCTAGATTTCACTTGTTTTCATGGGGTTGGTGAAATAGAAGCAATGCTACAGAAAAACTGGGGCCTAAGAGTAGTTGGATAAATTAAGATTTTTGAGGAGCTTGAAAATACTATCAACTCTTCACAAACTTTGCAAACTCACAAAAGGATCTGATTCAAAGAATTTCAAAGGCTCACTATTGGTCATACATAATTCTTAGCATCCCCAAAACATCTCCAAAACTGAAGTCTGCCCAAGTGTTGAAGAGTTACTGTGATGGAAGAAGATACTCTATACTGGCCTAGAAGAGCCTAGGAGAAAAGAAGTATGGCCCGGCAACTCCACTCCTGGGATACCTGCTGAGAGCTGCAGTCCTCGGTTTATAGCCATATGGGGGGAGTCGCTTTTGGGCAGTTCTATGTAGATCTCCATCCGCCCTGTGTCCACATGGAGGCCATCAGTAAGTGAGAACTGAAAGTCATCCACTGCTACACCAGAATCCCTAGGCAAGTATCCAACCAACCCAGCCAGGACATCCTGGTAGGTGAAGGAGGAGCCCTGGAATAACACTGTCCCATTCTCCAGAGGATCTGAAGAAGTCAGTCTCCGGAGTAGATGACCTGAGGAAGAAAGTGCAGAAAAACAAAGAAACAATGGTAGCCTGTAAATGGCACCAAAACATTGGTTTTCCAAGTAGTCTGATTCTGGGTACAATGTGAAGTATCTCAGAAGCTCTTGGTGTAGACAACTTAACTTTCATAAGTATAGGTGCTACTTTATGGTCTCATCTATAAATATGACAAGATCTCACATTTTCTGGTTCAACATCTCTTAAGGAGGCACAGATGGATCGAGCAATATAGTAGCTTCACCATTGCTGTTTCCCTTCATGAATTGAAACTTAGTCATTAGCCTAGCTATTATGGTTTGTGTCTAGTTGTCCCCTTAAAGCCTCAGGAAGTCATGGGGCAGCTTCTGGAGTTTGTGATTGATTATTGTGGGTATGGGTGTTGCACCGCCCTGGGGCAGGTAATCTGCATTACAATGTAAGGAAGGGGGAGGGGCTTGCTAGAAGCTTCAGCCACTCCCGGAAGGGGGAGGGGCTTGCTAGAAGCTTCAGCCACTCCCCCCCCATTTGCTCCTTGTTGCCACCAGGAACAGCCACCCTCTGCCATGAGCCACTCTGCCTTGGATCCAGCTGAATAAGAACTAAAATCTCTACTAATTGTGAGCTAAATAAACTTTTCCTTCCTTAATTCTGCGTGTTGGGAATTTTGTCCCAGCAATGAGAGAAGAGTAACTAAGACATTATCCAAAGCTTACTTTTCCCTTCTGAAAGTACAAATAGAACTCTTCACTCACTGCCTTTCTCTTGTGGCATGTGGAGTAGGAGATGGCAAAATGTTTTAAATTTCTTTTTTAATTCAGAAAGACAGTTAAGTATGTTTACATTGAAGATTATCATTCTGCTTTCAAGGGTCATGTACCTCAGTGGGACAATAAAAGTGCTTCATTAAAGAAAATGAAAGGGAAGGAAGGCAGGTTAAAAATGTAACCACTGGCAGCCTCTTCTCTTCACTCTCCATCAACAGCAACAGTTTCCTTTTGGAAAGCCCAGTAACTTTACAGTAGACTGGGACTCAGAGTCCTGCATTCTAACCTATGCCTGGGATGGCACTTACAAGTGGCTGGCAGAAACTGACAGTAGTTTCTGCACCTGATCTAAAGCAGGAAAAATTCTCTCTATAAAAGAAACAGGCTACTAGAGACATCTCACGTGCTAGCACACATGAGCTGGCTCCTGGTTATCAATTACGATGTCTACTCCAAGAAGAAGATATGCAAATGCTGAAACCTGTTTTGCTTGAGGTTACAAAGGAAAGCTGGAAAACAGTTGAAATAAAACTTCAGAGACACCAATTACCTTGGATTTAGGCTTTTTAAACAACCAGTGTCTACCATGACCCCAACACAATATTAGCTAGCTGTGAATTTGATTATACTCTGATGCAAAGAATGGACTACATATGGGAAAGGCAAAGGAATAACCGACTGAAATCTATGTGCTCATTCTAATAACCCATCGGACACCCCAATTAAGCGGCTTTGTACAGCAGCTTGCATCCTACCGTGGTCAGGCTTTTTTGTCAGTACAAAAACCAGCTCGTTATCTGGGGTGTCGAGGTCTTGGAGGCTCAGAGAAGAATTGCTTATCACCACGGCGAAGCTCAGCTTCACTCCAAGGGGCCGCAAGGTCATCCTGGGAGGCTCGTCGTTCTTCCTCTGATTAAAACACAAGACATTCAGACTCATGCAGATGTTGGGCAGGAAGAACAAAAATGCACATTACTCAGGAAAGGTATTATTCTTGCAGCAACTTTCACTGTCAATACAGCAATTAACGTGTCACTATCTTCTTAATCAAATAATTAGCTCAAAATGAGAAATTAAAGAGAAAGTCACACAAACAAAATGTCTCTTTGAAAAGCAGTTTGGGGGGGGAATTCAGCAAAAATCTTCTATAATATCTTCCATGAGTACAGTGATCATGTTTTCTGGACCAAAAATATGATTTGATAAGAACAAGTACATTCAGGGTATTAAAGGACTATTTGATTTTGGAATTGTATCAGAAAATCTTAAGGGTGTCCCAGTACCAGTCAGTGAAAGGACACTGTACTAGGAAGTGAGGTTTCTAAAGCTGTCTCCTAGTCTCCCTTCTACCACTGTGCCTTAAGACTGCTGAAGATTCCATATATTTTGTTTTCCCAAGGCTGAGACTATTCTCTTCTGAGATTTGTCTTTTATCTCTCTTACTCCCTGGGGTAGTAGAGCAAGACTGTGTAGTTGCTCTAATGAAAACAGGATCAAGGATCATGTTTCTTTGATGTTATAATTAAATGAATAAATGCATTCAAATATAAGAAAATGGAAATACGCATGTAGAGCCACACACAAGAATTTCATAGACACTAAAGCCATATCTTAGTTTTTATCTAAATATGGGAATGGCAAGGTTCCTCTGTCTCTCAACAAGTGTTTTTACACAGAACGAATAAATTTTACTCTGAGATGAAAATTCAGATTTCAAACTCAGACCTTCCCCAATTGCCAACCTTAATTCCACAAGTTTTCTGAAGGTCAGGCTTATATCTCAGAGGTTGATTTTTAAAGTTGAGGGCCAAATCCAATCTTCCTTGCTTTGAAGTCCCTAGAAAGGAAGCTATCTAATGGTGAGCTCTTAAGTAATCAGAGGATCAACTTTTCCAAGTCTCAGTCTTTACCTCAATAGTGATATTGATGCTGTGAATTTCTGAACGACTGGTTCCATCACTCACATAGAAACTAAAAATATCATGGGTTGGCTCGATGCTCTCATGAATGCTCTGAAAGTAGTATATGTAGTTTTCCAGGACATCTTGAATAGGGAATGACGCCTCCGGGCTGCTGGTTGTTCCAGGGCCAAAGCGATCGCCTGCATGAACATGGAGAGAGGATGTGCCCTTGGATACATCAATTTCTTACTTGGAACTAGAAAACAAGGCAATATTGTTCACATAAGATAAAAATCCCCTTGAAGACAAAGGTAGGAAAAAGCAGAGCACTAGGAACTGGAAGACTTGGAGTGAGGCGCAGTTTTCCCAAGACTTAGCTACAATAGTATCTGCCTGTCCCACGTCACCGCGGATAATCAAATGGGATGGCACACACAGGCTTTTTCTTTCTGGTACACACAATGTTTTTTCTTGCATATCACAGAATCAGTGATCGTTTATTAGGAATCTTTTATAGCATAAGTCTCGGAATAAGTCGCAGTGTAATAGCTATGGGGCTACCTCAAACTTTAGCCTGTTTCAAAACCGTTCTATCCAGCAGTACTGCTTTCTCTCTGTATCTTTTTTTTAATCTAAGAAGCCTCTCCTTCCAGCACGTTTGCATCTGACCTCCCAGCCAGTGCCTAGTCCCCAGGCAGAGCACTATGGCTCAGGATCACTTGACACACAGGTACAGTTCAGGCACTCAGATGCTCGCGTCCCACTCAGAGCTCAGGTGCTGCCATGGTGCACGCAAGTGTCCCCCCAGAGGCCCATGTGATTAAATGGCCCAAGCCTATGCTGCTTCTGCGTGGCAGTGAAACCTCTAAGAGGCAGAGCCTGGCAGAAGGTCACCCAGCCAGTAAGGATGTGCGTTTGAAGAAGACAGTGGGACTGCAGCCCCTTCCTTTCTTTTTTGCACACTAGCCCTGAGGTGGGCAGCTCTGCTTCACCACCTGCTCCCCACCACGACATGCTGTCTTGTGCAAAAACAGAGTCAACTGAATGGGAGGGAAGTCTTCAGAGCCACAGGACAAAATGAATCAACTCTCTTCCTCCCCTGATTGTTTGCAAGCATGTGCTAGAGATACAGAGCCGACTGCGGCAGGTGCCACTCGGGTACCCAGGTGCCGGGGGACCATCCAGAGGCTATGGAAGGGGCTGGTGAGATGGCTCAGTGGTCTAAAGCACCTACTTGGAACAAGCTTAGCACAGGGACCGCGGTTCAATCCCCCAGCACCACATGCCAGACAGCCCCACCCCCTGGTGAGCTGAGCTGGCCACACACACACAGAGGCTATGGAAAGTGCTGGCTGCAGTGTGCTCTGCTCCTCCTGCCCCAGAAACTGTAAAAGGTTAGGAAGGGTAAGCACTATCGAAATGATGGATGGCTTATCTTTACTTGATTCTAACCTGAGTTTTTCCAAATGATTGGTTTTAAATTGTTACCAAAATTTTCTTCTTGAGAAGGGAGAAAAAGAAACCATTTTGCCTTCAAAGAAAAGTATAACTGGCAGATGTGAAAGCAGCACAGCTTCCTCCTCCCTTTGCCATGATCTTTTCTAAATATCAGAAAAGGCCATCAACTTCCTGAATGACAGACAGGGTGACACTTGGTGGCACCCTAACAGAAAGACTAGGAACAAGGAAGCTGGTTCATTTTTAATAATTTGTGTGAAAGAAACGTAAGAAAAAAATTTTTTTTTTGCTTGAATGACATGATTTTTTCTTTACTGTTTGTATTGATTCCTCTAGACATCAGAAGCACAGGAAAGTCTAAGTGGCTAGTGACCCAATAACCTCTAAGATATACAGTTTGCTTTTCCAGAAAGATCTGCTAAAATACTTCCAGTTTTTACTTTTTCCTTCCATTGATCACTGTAACTGAATAAAACCAGAACTGAATCAGTGTGCTGCTGGATATGGAAGGCCCAGCTGATGATCACAACCAACAACAACATAAAAAGAACTGGAGAAGAGAAGAGACTCAGAGCGGGTTGCTGATTCTCCTGGAGGAGCTTGTCATGCTGGCTTTCCTGATGAACTCGGCTGTTCCCATCATTCGAGGAGCTCAGGATGTTGTTGTCACTGAGAGCGACTATGGTTCACTTTGGGGGAGCTCTGGTCCTTACTTTGAGTTTTGCTTCCTGGCTCCAGAGGGGAGGGGAAGATGGTGAGCTATTCAGTCTCCTGGAGAAACTGGTCACGCTGACTTTCTTGATATGAACTCAGCTGTTCTCCTCATGGGAAGAGCTCAGGACATTGTTGTGGTACTTTTCAGGGAAGCTCTGGTCCTTACTCTGAGTGTCATTTCCTGGCTCCAGGGCAGATCCCTCAGCCTGCTAGCACACATTCTTCCTCTTGTTGGCACAGACTTTGGGCCTTCCGGGCATAGATCCTTGGAACAGGCTTGCACAGGAGGCACTGTGATGGGCTCTGTGTCCCCAACTGGACTCATGCAGGTGGTGCCTTGAGATTCAGGCACGCAGCTGGATTCTTGGGGTTGTGTGGGGACACAGTTCCTGCATTCTTCTGAACTTGACTCTTTGGGGGACTATCATAAAATAATCCTATAAATTACATGTCCTGTATTATTTCCCTTGTAAACTCTGATTACAACAATGTGTAAGTAACACAATGGCATACACAGATATAATAACTTTTAAAAAATCACTGGAGAAACAGCTATTCAACATGTGAATCTGTCACCAAATATTTAAGCACCCATCTTTCCAGGTTTTAAAACTGCATGTTCTACTTCTTGAGGTAAATCATTCTAACTAAGGTGCTTCTCTGCCTTCTTAAGCAGAATCTGCAGTGGACAAATTAAGCAGTTGTGGATGTGTGCTGGCTTTTGTCATGGAGAGCTCCACCTGCACTGCCTTGGGCCCAGGGATGCCCTTGGAGGTAGTCAAGGCAGGGCATGGCCTGTCTGTGCCATTCTTAAATTAGTGCAGATCCCACAGCACGCATAGTAGTACTCTTGTTCTTACATATTTGTTGGTACGAAGTAAAAGCTGCTTCTAGCCATTTTTAAGATATTCTTCCCATCAAGTTGGTTCTGAATCTAGGTGGCTGTTTATAGACATGTGCAAATTACTTTCCAAGCAAAGAGCAAGGGCAGTCTCATGGACCTAGGGCAGCAGGGTCTTTAGCTGAAGGAGCCCAGGACAATTCTTGGCTTCCCTGTATGCCTCTGTTTATTTCCAGCTCCATACCCATGTTACTGCAGGGCCACCATTCTAAGTGGGCTTCTCTGACCAGCAGCACGGTACTGCTGCCCAGGATACTACCTGTGCTAGCTCCAAAGGGAAGTGTTATACTCACTGATGATCTGAGAATCAATCACTTCTTAGGGTAGCTGATATTTGCCAGAAATTTGGCTTCCCTCCTTGCTGCCCCTGTGCTCTCTTAAGGGTTCCAGGTACACAGAAAGCTGTGTTAGGAAGATTTGGCAAGAATGAAAGCCCCCAAGAGGAGGACCAACATCCTTTCATAATTCCTCACCTTTGTCACCCTCTCAACTGTGCAGAAAATTCCACTTTCCCTCTGCTCCAGGTGACCACTGACCCTTCAGTTGCAGCCTACAGTCACCTCCTCAGACTTTGCTGCCTTTCGAGGCAGAGCAGTCGCTGAGTTCTATGTACTGTCTTTGAGTCTTTCCCTCTCCTGATATTTGTCATATTGTAATTTATCAATCTTCATATTTTGTCTCCTACTCAAGGCGGGGTCTGCGTTCCTCATCTTTATAGCTGTCATATCTAGCACAAACAATTGTCAAGACAAACCTAATTCAGTCATAAGCAAGTCTGAGCACACACATTGAAAGGCAAATAGAGAAAAGACTCAAGACTTTTGACCAGAAAAACATGGCTATCCTACATGTATTTCTGGCCAACAGGCCCAAAACTGGGGCACCCTGCTGGCCTCTGACTCCTGCAGTCAGTGGTCTGTCCCTGGGATCTGCCAGCTGCACACAAATCAGCCCCATACACTGACACTCAACAGTCTCACTGCTCAGAGCTATCTCAGCTGCCACTCAGAGCAGTCTCAGGGGCCTGTGGACAGTTCATGCCTTCTTGCTTCTCCTCCTCTGTGATAAGAAGGATGGATTCAGGGCAGATGGCAGAGGGGAGGAATGCTTGGGAGGGTGTCACAGCCTGCATTTGAATTCCTGTCAGATCCATAGAAGGTGCTGATGCATTTGCTAGGGTTCAGCTAAACCACAGATGCCTCACAATAAAAGGACAGAAATTTTTTACTTTCCTGATGCTCAATTCTGAATGTAATCCCTAAGTCCTACCACTGCATTGCAAGCACACCAAATCCCTTTCCTTTCTTCTATTTCTTCTATAGCATTTATTCACCTCTTAATGTCTTACTTAATTTTCTTGTTTTTCATGTCTTTTGTTTGTTTCTCTCCACAAGGATCCAAAGCACTATGAAGACAGGGGATTTTGTCTGTTTCATTTATGGCTGTACCCCTTATGCTTAAAAAGTACATGGTCCATAGCAAATGCTCAGTCCATATCTGTCCAATGAACACAACCTTTCTTTCTGCCATTTCATGGAGATGGTTAGATTCTTCTTTAACTTTGCATCTATACATTTAATTGGAATAGGGGGCTTGTGGGTTAGCTCAGTTATTTAAGCACCTGCTGGGGCAAACCCAGTCAGACCCAGGGGACCATGGTTTGATCACCAGCTCCCCATGCTTTACCAGACCTGCCCTTGAAGCAGCCTGAGCCAGCCAAAAAAAAAAAAAATCCATCTCAACATTTCATTGGAACACAAGACTCCCCACACTCTCCTTTCTTTCCAGGTCCTGAATAATTCTGCAACGCATCTACCACGGTTACCTGTTCCTGTGTTCTCAATGCAGCCGTATTTGGGCAGAACACTTAGTTTAATGATGGCATCTTCCTGGAGGTTGTCCTGATCATCAGTAGCAAAGAAATGGTGAAATGAAAGTGGAGCTCTCCCTCCCTCATCAACCTAAGGAAGAAAAGAAAGTATAGACCTTGGGTAGTTGCACATAACCACAACAGAAAAGGACTGAATTGTGATGTTGTGTGGGGTGACCTTCCAGCACCAGCCGTATATCTAGAAGTGGTAGGTGCTCTACAGACAAGATGAGGGCTGTGTATGCTGCTTACACCACAGTCTTGCAGTCTTCCAATGCTCAGAGGTGATGACTTTCGCATCTCTGTATCATTCCATGATGGATCTGGTTATAAAGCAGCCATGGCCCATTGCAATCACCCACCTGGGTGCAGCTGTGTGACAGCATGCTGTCTTCTTGTGGTACCCATGTTCAGAAGTCCACTGCTAGAGAACGATGGGCCCAGTCCTCCCTCAAACACAGGGAAGGTGCTCCTTAAACACATTCACATTCAGCAGAAAGTCCCACTTAATTCCCTTATATTGTATATTTATATGTCTGTAGGAGAAACGGGCTCACCAAATCTGAAAGCAAATGCTTGTCTTAATGTCAAGGAAGAAAATAAATCAGTGTAAGTAAAAGCAGCTACTCAAACTAACTTTTTCCTTTACATCCTGTTTTATATGCTAACTCTGCAACCCATGCCTGAAGTTCTTTGCTGACCTGTTGGAAATGCTCAAGCAATGTTACTCTGAACAACTGTTGGCTAACCATGGAATGACATAAAAATTATAGAGCAAGACTCTGAGAGTTGGGACAGTCCAGGTCATTTCTCCAAAGTGTAGAAATGGAAACATAGGGGGTACATTAGAACCTTCTAGAAACAATTCAGTTTTATGAATTTTCAGTTGATTGACCAAACCAGAAAATCTCTGGAGGTGTGCTAGTATTAAAATATACATAGAAAGTAGGAAGAAGAAAATGAATTCAGGTTTATAGAATCCTGACCATGCACCAAATACTATGAAAGGGGGCATCAGAGAAATAGCTTATGCACCAAGAACAGAAATATTTTAAAGATGAGGAAACTGAGGCTAAGTAAGATTAAATTCTTGAAGAGTCGGCCAAATAGCTCAGCGAATTAAAGGGCCTGCAAGCAGGTGTAGGGGCCTGGGGTTTGATCCCCAGGCCTACTGTGCTGGCCCTGCCCCTGAGGCACACTGAGATGGCAATTGAGACTGGGTGTGGTGGCACGTGCCTGTAATCCCAGCTCTTGGAAGGCTGTAAACAGGAAGATCACTATGAGTCCAATCTAGTAGTGAGACCCTGAATACCCTGTAGACCTTTCCCTAAAATACAAAAAAAAAAAAAAAAAAAAAAAAAAAAAAAAAAAAAAAAAAAAAATTAAGTTCTTGGTCCAGCCAAACTCACTCAGTAAGAGATGTGGTGCCTGAACTCACCTTTGGGAAATTTCAGCAATGAAGACACATTATGTTGCCCACCTGTCTCAAGGATCTGTTAATATTGCTTACAGTGATAAGTATCAGCTGGATTTAAGGAGTAATTTAGCTGCTGCCAGCATTAGATTGTGAATTCCTCAAAGATATAGTCTTCTTCTACTTTTATTCCCGCTGCTAACAGTACTCAGCATAGTGTCTAGCACATAAATGTTCACAGACTAATGTGGATATCATGGTATGCTCTTCAGGCTAAAATTATTTTCATCTCTTTAGAAACCTTACAATTAACAACCACTCATAGCTTGATGCCATCACTTTGATATGGGGGGGATCTGACTGTCAATTTAGGCAATAATTCACTTATTTCTATCACTGAGGTCTCTGGCTTTCTCTAGCACTCAGTGGTTATTGCTCTGAGAGCTGCTTACTGTGATAAGGTCAGCAAAACCGATGACTGGAGGTGGATTCCCAGCCGGAGTGATCGTGATGGTAAATATCTGATTGTCCAGTTGGTTGTGGTCCGTGTCAAAGACAGAGAAGTGGAAGCTGTCGGTAACCAGATGACTGACTGTCTCAAACCCAGCTGAGTATCTACAAAGGCCAAAAGGAAAACCAAAAGAATGAGCCACACAGACAAACCAGATCAGATGGGCTTTCTACATAAATGGAGCAGTGAGCAATATATTCATTGAAGGATTCACAACCAGTTGCTTAAATATCTTAATACAGTTTTGAAAACTCTGGAAAATAATACACAGTGGCTATGTACCTAATGTTCTCATTGTTGATGTCCTCCATTGTGAAATTGGCAACCTCAGAGAGCTCTTCCACCTCAGATCCTGAAGCTCTTAAGAGAGCACCGTACATAGGCAGAGAATTTAACTGAATCCAGATTTCTGCGTCGGGGGAAGAATCGTCCTAATCAGGCAAATGTAAGTCAAGACATGAATGGACATTTGCAGGGATAAATAGTTCCAGTAGTAAAAGATATATAGGCACCTCCTCTGCTTTTCTCTTGTCCTAAAGCAACAGCACTTCCAAGTCCAGAAAGACCCCAGAATTTATTCCTCCCAAAGCACTTCTTTGTTCCAAGAGTAGTTCAAAGTAACAGTGGAAAAGCACATGTTAAGTATGGGGCATAAAACAAAGAGAGGCCTGTACAAAATTTTGTTTACATTGCATCTTCTAATGAAGAAGAAAATGTGGTGTGCTCAAAGTCACCTATCCATAAACACAGATGCAGGCTTCCTTTTTCGCTTTTGAGGTGAGGATGATCTGTGTCTCAGAAACAGGTAAAATCCCTATACCACAGGACACATTGCATAATGATAAGATTCTGTGATACAGCAAGAATAAAAGTTCTTTAGCTTATCCCATGACTCACTTTAAATAGTATTCAACATGCTAAAATTTTGGATTAACATGGAGAATGCCCTATAGATTTCATCCTTTCTGGACTGGATCTACGAATGCTCACTCTCCAAGACTCGTAATCTTAACCAAAGCCATTTTCCTTTTTTTCTCTCTGCATTGTTCATTGAGAAATAAAATTGATTTTCTGTATTTCTACATGGAAAATAACTGAATGTCTTAATGGACAACTTCCTCTTTCTTCAAGCATATTTTTAGAAATATCTAGGAGGCAGGCAACATCTTGGAAAGTTTCCCGGGGTCACTCATCTTTTAGTATAGTTGAATGTGAAAATGGGGCAACTCTGTACTTTATCACAGCAACAATAAAAATAAATGCAGCAAGTCAGTTTTATTTTCAAATGCAAATTTCTGTATCTATGCTGTACTTTCGGGTGAGCGATGGGATCAGGAAGGAGAAGCACAGACCCCCGGTAGGCCAGGGGCAACAGGCTTCAGTCCATCGCCATTTCTGTCCCCAGGAGACTTTTTAAGTTAGCTGTTCAGAGTTCTGATGCAAGATCATAGCATTTTCTCATATCCCTTGCCACTAGCAAGAAAAGAAACTAAAATTTATCGAAGCTGCAAAACTTCAGAATATTTTTCCTGAATTTATACTCTTTTAAAATTCCTTTATTTCTCCACATTGGTTATCAAATACAATGTGTAGGCTTTGAAAGATGACTTCCTAATATCACTGTGACTTCCCTCTGATTGAGAGCTTTTAAAATCCAGCTGAGGGCTTTAGGGTATTGACTTTTGAGATCATGATAAACTATGAGGACTGAGCTCTGGGCTCTTGATTAGAATGAATAGCTTCTAAAGTCCACACTGGCAAATTTGGCAAAAAAATGTTTATTTCATGTCAGGCACATCTTATTATATTTCAATTCTCAAATGACTGCTGCGTTTGGAAAAATGGGAGATCAGCTAGATTTTTCCCCCTTGGAAATTCCCTTTTATAAATTAAAGAAAACTGCTATTTTAGTAATCCAAGATATTGCAGTTATACCAAAAGGAATAAAAATACAGACCTTGTTCTTAGTAGCTTGCCTGATTAAAGACCTTTGAAGCCCTTTTTGGATTAACTTGTTTTCATTTTCTTTTACTATTTACACATCTATGAAACATCATTCAACAGGAGGACCGAGACTCAATAACAACTTTTACTTATGTGGTCCTCCTCCATCTTGTCCTTGCGCCTTTCATCACCCCAAAACTTGTTTCATATTTCCTTGAACTTCTTCCTATCATTTGGTACATTACTGCAATGTGTATTTTTAGAGTGAGACTCAACTCTTAACAAGGTTTTTCTTTTTACTCAGTGCTACACTGCTAAGATCCATCCGTGCTGCTGGGTATAACAGTAAGCCATCCGTTGTGAGGCTAATATTCTTACTGAATAAATACACATGCCATCTGTCATCCTGCTAATGGGCATTTGGCTGTGTCAATATTTTTGCTACTGCAAATGGTACCATGGTGAAATGCTTACAAATGTCCATTGGTGTCTACGTGAACATTTCTCCTGGGGAGAAATTTAGGAGTGGGAGGAAAGGTAAAGGACTGTCAACCCTCACAAGGCCATGCCAGGTTCCTTCATACAGCAGTTGCTCCAACTTACACTCCAGCTATAAGAAACTTCTTCCATTTCCTTCCTAACACATGGTATACAATTGTTTATATCATCTTGGCTTTTTCTAAACATTGATGAAGGTAAACATCCTTCATATGTTTATTGACAACCTGGGTTTCTTATCTGTGAAATTCCTATACACACCTCTTGCTCATGTTTCTAATGGATATTTCTTTTGGAGCTGCAGAAGCGTTCTTATTTGTGATTAAATGTACTGCAGATATCTTCTCCCAATTTTTAACTTGCCCATTTGCTGCCTTTATGGTATACTTTGATGAATATAAATTTAATTTGAATAAAGTCAAAATTTTTAAGAACTGTTTTGCCATATAAATCATTTTGTGCAGTTCTACACTCTAAATAGCCTTATGTCCCCTAATCTGGCTTATTTCTGTTTTGTATTAGGAATCCAAGGACTTTCTAACATACTTCAGTGCTACATTATTTTAAATATTGTAGGTTTATAATACATCTTGCCATACAATAGGGCAAGTCTCCGGCCCTCCTAACACTTTTCTTCAGAATCTTGGCCCTTTCTTCTTCCTTTCATGTTTCAGAGCCTGTCTACCCCTAGGGCTTTTAATTTCAACTGAACTGAATTAAAAAAATCACTTTTTGGAAATCTGAATTTTTCTTTTTAAAAATTTACTTATTTGGTACATGGTCTCACTATGCAGTTCAGACTCATAGTGATCCTCCTGTCTCATCCTCTCCAGCACTGGGATTATAGCCATGTGCCACCACACCCGGTTTCAGGGCCAGCTTAGCATGTGGCACTGGGAATCAAAATGGGGCCCTTGAGCTTGCCAGGCGGGTGCTTAGACTGCTGAGCTATCTCTCCAGTCTAAAATTTGGATTTTTTTCATATATAATGTTTCACTTCACAAATATGGCGTATCTCTTTATTAAATGCTTCCTAAATATCTGTCAATTTTTCTCTGTGGAAGTACTGCCTGATTCTTTAAAGATTCAACCCAAAAAACATGATGTTATTTTAATGCTATTTTAAGTGGTTTCCTCTTTTTAGTTACATCTTACTGGCAAGTTTTTGGCTTAGGTACAGCAAAGCTATTGCTGTTTATTGACCTTATATTTAGCCTCTTTCTAAATTCTTTTATTTCCAATGCTCTCTTTGTCAAGAGATTTATCTTTTATGTATTCAGTCATAGCATCGGTCTTCTCTAGAAGTTACAATCTTTTGTTAATGTTTATCTCTAAATACATGATATGTAAATTTTATGAATGTTATAATATTTCGAATTATTTTCTTTTTGAGAGGGGCACAGAAATGCTACTAGCTTGTTGATGTTAATCTTATACTCCTCATATTACAGATGAGAAAACCGAGGACTAGAGTATTTAAACAACTTGCCAAGGGTCCTTGGGCTAGTAAGCGATGAGCATGAATTAGTGTCTGCCTGTTTGAACCCCAGAACCCGTGCTATCCCTCCCCTACTTGTCTATTTGCAAAACATGCATAAAGTGCAGGTAGTAAGCAAGTGCTAAGAGGCAAATCATCTGAGGTCCCACTTCAGCCTCTTGTCCCTTCTAGCAGTGTCACATTTTCTTTGGGTTATCAATACTCTAAGCACAGACCCACTACTCTCCTTCTTTATCCTATACCCAGCTTATGACTAACATTCGTAGGACTTCCCCAAGCAGTTCAGCTTATGCTGAAAACAAAGCATTATTTTTGAAAAGAAAAGTTATGACAGACAAGTACTTCTTGTACTTCCTCTGCAAGCCTTGGAGAAAGTGCTCAGGTAACCAAGCTGGGGCTTTCAGGATGCACGCCCTGCTGCTGGCAGGCTGGGACAGCTTGTGGGTGTCTTTCTGCTCTGGTGGGTAAATGCAAATTCAATCAATTTTTGGGAAGTACACCTTCAGTTGCCAATGTGCTTGCATTTTGATGCACAGCTTATAATATATAGTTAATGAACAAGAACCATTCCTGGAGTGATATTTTGTTTTGTCAGATATTTTTCAGGCCTTTGTGGTCTATTGATCAAATCTGAATTCATACATTTTTATGAATTCATGAGTTTCATAGGATTCAAAAGACCAACTTATGGTAAAAATTACCTGTCGATTAAAATAAAATCAAAGCTATATTGAAGCTGTAGCAAGCCTATAGGAAGAATGAAGCTTGAATGTAGTTTCCTATCACTTGAGACAATTTATTTATTTATTTATTTATTTTTTCAAAAGTGTCTTTTTTTTTTTATTAGAGACAGAGAGAGAGAGAGAGAGAGAGAGAGAGAGAGAGAGAGAGAGAGAG